ATTGTGTTTTATTGCTGTGTGACCAAGTATAACATAGTAACATTTGAAAGTTGGTTAAAAATGTTAGTTAGTTTGTTTGTGCTTCGTACCGATCTATTGAGTAAAGCCATTTGTAACTGATTTTTACAGTTCGTTCTTATTTTGTGCTGTTACACCACTGTCCAAAGTTAGGGGAGGGTTGAGGGCTTACAAACATGTTGAACTCCGCCACAATCTTTATATGCCTGTCCCAAGTCAAGAGCCTGTAATTCAGTGGTTGTCGTTGGTTCACGGCGACCTATATCTACTTGTATCTTCGTCATTTGAACTCTTGTGAAAGTTGTCTCATTGACATTTATACCACATCTATTCTTTATATATATATATATGTCGGTGCTCACATTAATATTGTTTAACACGAATATACAGTGTGATATCCATATTTGGTTGAATGGACATCGATATACGTATGTTTGAATCGATACAACATGTGTACCTGCGCGTTGACATGTTGGATATTTCCACCATATTTATATTGGCTTGGACATGTTTGACTTATCCAAATATACCAATGCCAGTGTCCATGCAATTTATAAGATGTGGCAAACAATAATATATACAAATATACGATGCTTTTTACGAATGTACGTGTTTTTAGTAATAGAGTATTATCAAACTGGTTAAATGCATTTGTTTCTTGCTTTGAAAAGTACTTCATTTGAACCTTCTCATTGTTTTTTTCAAACGTAATCGCACTGACATTTAACATTTTAAGCCATTGTAATTTTGTTTAATCACTCGATCAAAAAATGGACCGCAATTAAAAAACCCGGACTGCAATAATTGGCAAGAATTTTTGTAAAGTGTCTGTATATCTAAGGATATATAGATTCCAAATATACAATTCCTTTGACATTTGCATTGGTACTTGTATAAAAATAGCTTTATTCTATATTTTGGAATAAAAGCATTGTAAGGCTAAATTAAACTTGAGAACACAAAATAATTTAGGGGTGATGATTTCTATTTATCACCAATACTAACTTACCTTGTATGATCTTTTATATCAAGTTTAAGCATCTATTTCACGTCTTACAAAAAAGAAGTATGTTTGTTTACATTTTGGGTCATATTCACTCGAAAAAACGTGGTTACACTCGAAAAAAAAAGATCGAATCACTCGTAAAAACACGATGCCAGTCGGACACTATACCTACTGTGCATAATTCCAATATAAAATATATTTCAACCTGTTTACAGATAATATGATGATTGAGCAATTGTCATAACTTTGCTTGTAGACATTCTATTTGCTATATTAAAAATAATTTTGCACTATTACAATGAATTATTTCTGCCAAATGGTTATATGGGATTACTATAACACCCCTGATATTACTATAAAAACCAATTGTGTTATAGTAATCTCATATGTTATATAAGAGAAACTCGCCTACAACAACTATACGAGTTATAAGATGTATTAAAAATTATAAGTACAATGAACACTTTTTTTTAACTTTTGAACACTTTCTGAATTTTAAAATAAACATGGCAAAGAGTGTTAACTAGCCGTCGAAAATCATTTATTTGTAAATAAACATCGTCACTTTATTGCCGTTTGGGACTTACTGTTCACGATAATCGATCAATCTGTGATATCGTTTAGCAATAATCGACCAATCTGTGATATCGTTAGCAATAATCGACCAATCTGTGATATCGTAAGCAATAATCGATCAATCTGTGATATCGTTCAACAATAATCGATCAATCTGTGATATCGTTCAGCAATAATCGATCAATACATGATATCGTTCCATGTTCATATATTTATTATTGTATTTTATAGGTAATGAGAAAAACACGCAAAGTATGTTGCAAACTGCTGCTGTGCACGGTGTGCTTAATTTGTATTTTTCACATTCTCCTGACAGGTAAGGAATTTTATATCTTAACCCTCAGTTCCATTTCATCTGCTTGTTTACGAACAGATAGGACCAATTTCACCTAAATTTATCTTAAACTAGGATCAATTATCGAAAGACTCTTACCTAAAATTTGAAGCAAAATAAAGCAGCTTCATATTTCTACTTTAAGGTTGTGCCAACATTTGTGAACTTATACATGTTAAAATAAGAATGGCACATGCAAGATGGCAGTTTTCAAAGACATTTTCAATTATTGAGTTTTTTTTGTAAAAATATTGAATGAGGACAGTCGAAACAAATGTTAAATTTCTATCGGGAGTCAGAGCATGTTGTGTCTGTCAGTTATAAAGTCAGTTTGGTTATGGATGTCCTTCGATGCCAAATATTTCAAAACATTACAATATAGACTGAATGCTGTTTTTTGAAAATTCATACGAAATGAAAGCATGTGAGCTTCACATTTTGAATAAAACGCTCCTTGCTAAATATGTTATCGTCACTTGCTTTCATTTTGTATAAATGTGCATGCAATTCTTATATTTACAGATCTTTGAAATAAAATATGTTAATGTTATTAACATTTTAATCTGAAAGTAAATCTTTGTAAACACAAAACTTCGCAGAAATTGTCTACTGCGATAAAAACAGTAAATCTGATTAAAATTACAGATCCTGTATCCAAGCTTTGCTTTTACGACAAAGCTTGAACACAGGATCACGGCAAAGCTTGAACACAGGATCACGGCAAAGCTTGCACACATGATCACGGCAAAGCTTGAACACAGGATCACGGCAAAGCTTGCACACAGGATCACGGCAAAGCTTGCACACAGGATCACGACAAAGCTTGCACACAGGATCACGACAAAGCTTGCACACAGGATCACGACAAAGCTTGAACACAGGATCACGGCAAAGCTTGAACACAGGATCACGGCAAAGCTTGAACACAGGATCACGGCAAAGCTTGAACACAGGATCACGGCAAAGCTTGAACACAGGACACGGCAAAGCTTGAACACAGGACACGGCAAATATTGAACACAGGACACGGCAAAGCTTGAACACAGGACACGGCAAAGCTTGAACACAGGGTCACGACAAAGCTTGAACACAGAACACGGCAAAGCTTGAACACTCAAGATCTCAAAATACGGATATTTTTGTACTTTTTGCTATTTTTCACTAAACATGTAAATGTAAGAAGTTTGAAGCCCTAGCTTATCATGCCAATATGTTAGACAAACTTTAAAAAACATAAATACTGATGTCTATATATAGAAAAGACTTAAGTATGTGTTATGAATAATTGGAGGATGCTATTTGGTAGATTTATAACACTTTTTTATTTTCAAGGGGCCAAAAATGTGCCCTAATCATACCTTCTCCTTTCGAGCTCTTTTTACAAATGCATTCTACAAGTGTTCTATCAAAAGATACGTCTTGATTATCTTTCAAATGCAGATACAGGGGCTTCCATTACTTATCCAAACAGATTTTAGGTTTAACCATCATACATTTTACTGACATAAACATGAAGAATAAATGCAATGTTTAGTGAATTGGTATTACCAAAAATTCACTTTACATTGCATTGAACAGAGAATACAGAGACAATAGAATGGTTTGAAACAAGCATTTATAATTTTAATAATAATGACGAATATCAAATGACGAATTAATTTTTCATTGTAGTTGATGTAAATATGACCAAAAGAAACGACGAAATACTTCATTTTCCACAGGTGAGACACGAATGAAACGATTTGGTTTTATTACAAAAATGTGAAATACTGGCAATAGTTAAGATAGCAAATTTTATGTGTATAATTTGCAACAATGTTTATGTTTATAAAATTGAGAATGGAAATGGGGAATGTGTCAAAGAGACAACAACCCGACCACAGAACAGACAACAGCAGAAGGCCACCAACAGGTCTTCAATGCAGCGAGAAATTCCCGCACCCGGAGGCGTCCTTCAGCTGGCCCCTAAACAAATATATATACTAGTTCAGTGATAATGAACGCCATACTAAACTCCAAATTGTACACAAGAAACTAAAATTAAAAATAATACAAGACTAACAAAGGCTAGAGGCTTGGTTATGTTTACATTTTGGCAACCAATTCAGATATAGATATACAATCTAGATAATTTGGTATACTATAATCATGTTTTAGAGTGATAAATAATAAAACCCGTTTCAAATCAACATTACACTAAGCTTAAAAGATTATTAGATTAAAACTATGTGCGTGTGGAGGTACTATTCTGGTCACTTCCCCATTGTATGAATGAGAGTTTTTTATTATCTGCATTTGACCAACAGTATTTAGTCTCCCTTTGATTGGAATAATTTATCAGGCAATATTGAGTGATTCATCATTGACGTGAGCATGATTGGTTAAATATTTTTTTTATCATATAACGAACTTTCAACAGTATTTAAATTTGGTGTAAATTTGAAACTTGTTGTGTAAAGTTTGAAACTTTCTTTCAATTCCACGACTAAAGCAATGTGCTTATGTTTCTTTGCTTAACAGATTTTTATGCAATCAAATTGAGTTTCATAGTTAACTTTTGCACTAACTGGCACTGGATGTGACCTTATCAGCTTTATACTAACACAAATAATTCGTATTTTGTAAAATGTCAGTTGGTATCAATTGGAATTTACACAAATAAAATAATTTGATTTGATCAGATTTGATTTACACAAATTAGCATTTAAAAGCCTGGCAGCACTTAGCCGTAAAGATAAGCGTGTTTACCATGTATTTTTCTTTAACACTCACAAACTGTATTTTACAGATTTAATTCATTTCCATTTCATTGCCTGCTGGTGTAAGAAGGGAGTATTGGACAGGTTTATAACATAAAAATCACCTTTTTCTTTTTTTTTCAGGCTGGAATGTTGGCGAATAATATAAGTCTGTTTAGAAACATCTTGGCGGGAAAAGAAATGAAAAACTTATCATTACCGTCACCACTGACAGAATTTCAGAAGTTTTATAACAACCATAATGCAGTTGACCCGAATGTTATCATGTATGGTAAATCTACAAGGGACCAAGGTTGGTTCAACAGAACTTATCTTCAACTAATGAAGAAAAAAATATCAGGGACAGAGCTAAAAAATTTAACTTTGCCCTCGGCACTCGTGGAATTTGAGAGGTTTTACAACACACATTCTAACATTGATTACAGCGTTATTCAGTATGGTAATTTTACTAACAGACAAGGTTTGTTCTTGGAAAACTTCCTTGATGTTGTCTGTTTCGCTTTCACTGGTAGTTGTTGTAACATTGTATCTTATCTTTGGTCCTCTCATTACACTATATAGTATATTTATTGAGGATCGACTCTTAAACGCTAAGTACATTTATATAACCTGACACTTCACAAAGGTATCACTGTTTCACTTTAATTTATATCATTTGGTTCTGCATGAAAAATGTTTACTCAAAGTCCCTCTTTTCATATCAATCAGTAGTACAGACATTATACATATTATTCTATAAACGTTTATATTCTACAAATATCCATGCTCTTGCTGTTATCTTCCAATGTTTGCTCTATTTATAGAATTTCATTGACGTGCTTTTTAGGTATCACGACACAATAAATCTTAACTATTTTTTCATTGTCTTACTTTAGTGAACAGAATAAGGGAAATTATATAAATTGCGTTGTTATACTGTTTGAATAATGAATAATTGATTGATTGTTTGTGTTTAGCGCCACTTTCAGCACACTTGACAATATAATGGCGTCCACTTGTGGTGGAAACCGGTGTACCAGGAGAAAGCCACAGACCCTTCGCCTTCGGCAAGAAAACTGCGATCCTGGTTAATAAAGAGTCGGACGCACCTTGCCACGATAGGGGTTCATACTCAAAATTCGGTGTTGATAATTTTCTTTGACACTCGGTCACCAAGGTCTCTTCTTTGATGAATGGTCGTGTTTCATAGAAGTTTGGTAATATTTGTATTAACATTTTGTGGTATAAATTTCTTTGTCAGGAGGAATTTAGCAACAAAAAAATCCAACCCTCCCAAAATAAAATGAACACGTGGTGATCACATATGTAGTAAATTTTTGAACTGATCGATAGCATGATGATTCCGGTGTGCACGACATGTGTTCTCAAATAACCACCTGCATCAATCGAAACAAAAAGTTTAGGAACCAAAAAACATAAAACTTTTGTGATTTTCAAAACCAATTAGGCTTGCCGAAGTACGATCTAAACTGCTTCAAGTCAGCTTTGCCGTAGGAAGCTGCAACCTTAGATTTAGTACACTAACAAATATAAAAAAAAACTGGAAAATTATGAAAAACAAGAATGTGTGTGCATATAACACCATACCGCGTCGCACTATCATATATGTCCATTTTCAGCTAACCGTGAAAACGGAGTCAAAATCGTAATATCAATAACTTTTAAAAATCACCTCACAGTGATGTACTATCTTAAGCGGGCATAAAATTCAATGATTGTGAGATGCAACTTTATAACAAAAACCAAGAACCACGTATTTTTTTCTCTCGCATGTAACGACGCACGCATTACACCATGTCTTTAAATATGTTGTTGACGTTTTGCGCTACTGTAGTTTTAGAGTTGTGGGGTGACTTTGGTTATGTATTCTACATTTAAGTTTGTTTAAACAAAAAAATTAACTATGATTTCGTTAAAAGTAAAATAACAAAAAAACTGAACCCCAAGGACAATTCAAAAACTTTCACATTGTATATTTGTTACGATGAATTTATATAAAAAGTAAGCTCCTTTTTATAGAAAAGGCTATTTTACGATTGATGGGGTAGGCGATCTATACTCTCAAAAAGCTCTGTATTAGAAATTCAAGAACATGAAAAATAAGATTAATTGTTTAGTGTTAGAAAATTAGCTTGTTAAGTAAACTACGATAATACCCTTAGTATACACATTAAACATTTACCACGCATAGAGTATTTCATGGTTAAAAATTCAAGCTTTGGTTTAAAAGGTGAACCGTTTAATGACATGCACTTCCCATATACATCTTTTCCCAGATTTCATAGACCAGAATAGTCTTATTAGCAGTGACAAGCGACTGTGAGCTTTTATAAACGTTGAAACATTACTTTTTTTGTGCACATTTTCCAAGTTCTTAATAAAAAAAAAACTGTATGTTTTTCTGTTCCAGGTTATCTAACAATAGGGATTCCTACTGTAAAAAGACGATTAAATGGTGACCACTACATTTACACAACGCTAAACTCTCTTATTTCTAACACCGATGAAGGTAGAATACAGGATGTTGTTATTGTGATTTTCATGGCAGACCCTGACGAATCTTGGAATAATGAAAGTGCAAAAAAGATATATGATGAATTTAAGCCTCATTTTGATAGCGGTTTCATGCAGATAATAAAAGCACCTGAACATATATACCCAGACTTTTCAAATTTGCAGAAAACAAAACAGGATTCCGCAGACAGAGTCCAATGGAGATCAAAACAAAATATTGATTTCGCCTTTTTAATGCTGTATTGCCAGAATCTTAGTACATATTATATACAATTAGAAGACGACGTTCTGGTCGCCACTAATTTCGTTAAAGATATCGAAAGTTTTGTTTTGAATCGTACAAACCACTGGATTTGTTTGGAATTTTCGTATCTTGGATTTATTGGTAAAATGTTTCATTCAAGTGATTTACGAGTGATTTCATCAGTTTTGTTAACGTATTTCAGTGAAACACCATGTGATCTTTTACTAGGAGGAATCATAAAATTCTTAGGACAAAATTCTCCTATTCATTCACCTGTTAGTTTATTCCAACATATTGGTAAAATTTCGTCTCTCCGGAATAAAATGATGCCTTCTATAGACCGATTTTTCAAAGATAAAGGATCAAACATTCTTCCAATTATGAAGCTACCAAAAGGCGATCATCCCGATGCAAAGTTTGTAACTAATATGAAAGTCATACCCGGTTTTCCACCGGAAAATGTGTATAAAAATAATTTATATTTTTGGGCTTCATACCCTAGAAGTAAACAGTATTTTAGAATAATTTTTACAAAAAATTTGAATATGTCACGATTAGTTATTTCTACGGGTGAAAATATCAATAAAACGGATTTTTTAGAGCATGGAGTATTAAAGGTTGGTTTTAATAATAAACAAAGTATTTGCAATGATTTGAAAGAAATTGGTCGTTTCGTTGAAGGTGAATTCGATTCTTTAATACAAGGAATAGCTATACCAGAAAATATAAAATGCTTGCACATAGAAGCTAAAAAGGGACAAAAACGGTGGTTGATTATAAGAGAAATAGAAATGTTCCAAAATAAAATATGAAATATTTTTTTTTGCATTTTGATATAAACGCCTCTGAAAGAATTTGACAGAAACAAACAAGTTTTAACATAATGTTCCTTCCTGTAAGTGAGATGAGGAAACTATGCTATTTGATATTATTGATTTTTGGGGTTGCCCATATCCACAAAGAGGATATTGCATGAAACATTTGAGATATTCGTATCTAATCCGAAACACCTTTCAATGCACAACCAAGGGTTGAGATCCCACAAAACATGTTAACCCCGCTGCATGTTTTGCCCTTGTACCAAGTCCGGAACCTCTAGCCTTTGTTAGTCTTGTGTTTTTAGTCCCCTACCGACGAAGTCGAAGGGGACTTTAGGTTTGCACTCCGTCTGTCTGTCCATCCGTCAGTCCGGCAAATCAGTTTTCCACACTTTTTTTCTTCGTGCTTGAAGATATTGATTTGATAATTGGTATATTGTTTTATCATGACAAGTTACAGATCAAGTTCTAATTTTGTTCCGGTCTGATGATTTTGTGCATAGTTATGGTCCTTTGACATAGAAAATTCACTCAAATAATCAGTTTTCCACACTTTTTTTTGTCATGCATAAAGATATTGATTTGATAATTGGTACATAGGTTTATCATGACAAGTTACAAATCAAGTTCAAATTTTGTTCCGTTTGGATGATTTTGTGCAGAATCATGGTCCATGGACTTCGAAAATTCACTTAAATAATCAGTTTTCCACACTTTTTTTCGTCATGCTTGAAGATATTGACTTGATATTTGTTATATAGTTTACACCATGACAAGTTATAGATCAAGTTATCATTTTGTTTCAGTGCAATGAATTTTCAACTGGTTGGGGACTATGTATTGTCATGCAATACTCTGAGAATGCTTGTTTTTTTTTATTTTGGTTCATTCTTGTGTTTCGGAGTTAAGTGTGGCGTCCATTTCGCTGAACTAGTATACATAAAAAATAAAAATACCGAACTCCAAGGAAAATCCCTCATCAAATGGCAAAATTAAAAGCTCAAATACATCAAACGAATGGAAACAACTGTCATACTCCTGACTTGGTACTGGCATTTCCTATTGTAGAAAATGGTGGATTAAACCTGGTTGTATAGCTAGCTAATTAAACCTCTCGCTTGTATGAATGTCCATTAAAAAAACGCAAATGTCCTATGAAAAAGCGCAAACGTCCCGCATAGACAGTCGCATAGAATTCCATTATATTGACAACAATTTGTAAGTTAAACAAACAGACATAATAGGTAAAATGTCAAAAATTGGGGTACAGCAGTCAACATTGTGTTATAATCTTAATCACTATAAAATCAAACAACTATGTCAACAAAGAAAAACAAAATGGCATATAGACAAAGCACATAAGCAAAAATGAAAGACAAGAATACAAAAAATGAGCATAGAACTATAACACAATGGCGGGATGTATAAATACCGAGCCACGCCAAAATGATAAATTACAAAAAATGGACTAAACAGTAAAGGTTAAAAATATACAAAGACAGAAAGACCAATACCGGAAAGAAAAAAGAACACTATAACACATCTTAAGATGATAAACAACGTCAGTACCTAAAATCTATACTTCTAGACCATCATGTATTATTTGTGAACTTGATACGGAATATTTATCGTTGTGTCTTCCGATGAACTTTTTTTCGGAAAAAGGACGAGACGTTCTTTGGTACATAATTGTTTAGGGACCAGCTGAAGCCCAACTACGGGTGCAGGACTTTCTCGCTGTGTTGAAGACCCATTGGTGGCTGTTTTATGCTCTTTGGTCGGGTAGTTGTCTCTTCGACACATTCCTTGTTTCCTTTCTCTATTCGTAACATAACTTTATTGGTTAAAAATGTGTTGCTAAACGTCTACTAGCAAGTATTCCATGCATATATATTAAAGACGAGATAAACATCAAATCAATTACAAATATATTTTGTTCAAAACATCAGAGTTGGGTTCGGGTTGCTCAGTCTTTAGTTTTCTATGTTGTGTTTTGTGTACTGTTGTTTGTCTGTTGGTACTTTTCTTTTTCAGACATGGCAATGCGCTTGAATGTCCCTTTTGTATATTTTGCCTCTCTCTGATTTCGTTATGCTCATATCTTCGACGAGTAAGCGAGTGCTGAAAGATTTGAAGTATAATCAGATTGCGATAAACGTCCTGGTCGGTCGTTGTCAAGGATTAAGGAGTATAAAAAATGCAGATAATTTGATCAAAGTGCCCTGACTTCATCAACTAAATGTACCATCTACAACATTCATCTGTAAAACTTAGAATTTATCATTTTAAGATATTGAATTCGCTCTGACATGTAATTCGTCTAATTCAAGCAGATTGTATGAAAACTACACATCATAGCAAAAGGTCATGGGATATTGCCGGATCACTGAAAAAGCACAACTTGTGAATCATCTGTAACTTCCGGTATTGGTTCTTCTGACGATGTTATCTAATCATCTGATGAATTTATTATTACCGTAGGTCGAACGTTTTTGTCTTCAAACATTTCAAGGGAAAACAGGACACCGAAGTTTAGTTCGAACAAAATTATGCCATCCAAAAGGTGACCTAAGAAACCCCTAATTCTTGCTGAATTGTAATTCTATAATACATGTTCAAATATTAAGTTGATATATCAGCAATACTTAACCAAATTGGGATGTAGACGTATTACTTGTTGTTGTTTTTTTTTATTACATCCAATGGAAAATATTTCAGGACGAAAACAAACCAGCTGCTGACTAATGATATCCCGCTAAACAGGAATTTGATAATCGCTGTGCGTGTTCAATACACCACGCAGAATAGGATTTTCACATAAAGCTTGATACCATGACGAAGGGCTAGCTGGAATTTTTACTCCAACTGGAAAACGACAGATTGTTGGATGTTAGCAGAAATTTGGTCTTATAAATTAATATTTTACGGTGCCATATATATTAATACTGAACAAAATATTAGAATTACCCGCAAGAGTGCGATATAAGCCACATCAATACCATTCCTCGAGTTCCAACAATGCCTTGTGTTTAGTAGCTTACAATTAAAATAAATGCAGCTTACATTGTATGTTGATCCTCTCGATTGCAATTACTGTTTTTTAACGAGTACCCGTAGACACAATTTAACAAGAGAGATTTATACACTGGACGAACCGACAGAACATTCAAAAAATAGGGGAAAATGTAGTTTATCACAGCGTATAATAAATTAAAAATAGATTCTGTAAAGATTGTGGACCGGAATGAAGGGCGGAAAATTTATACTGCCTCCAAAAAGACATATGAACATAAAGACATAATAATGCCATAATAATGGCTAATTTATTAGAGGTTAATTATTAAGTCCTACAGATTGATTTGCACGCAATAAGAAGCATAGGCCTTTATAAAAGGACAACCCATCATATATTGGAAATCCGAAAAAAGACTAGTATGCCGTACTTAATGCATAGTAAGCATATTTTACTTAACTTAAATGTTTAAAATTAAACAGGTCTTCACTTGAAAGGATGCGGATGTCCTGTTTTATAATTGCCCGGATTAAAGATAAAGATTATGAGGGACTGAAACTTCGGTATATTGTATCTACCTATATGGTATCTGACTTTTTCAATTACAGGTTTGTGTTGAAACTAATTTGGTTACATCGGAGACGTATAATAAATTGTTCTTATGTTGTACTGTCACACCACTGTCCTAGGTTAGGGGGAGGGTTGGCGCCTTCAAACAAGTTTAACCCCGCCACATTCTGTATGTGCCTGTCCCAAGCCAGGAGCCTGTAATTCAGTATTATAAAATTATAGTTCTGAATTTTGATATCAATTAAATCATGTAGATAACTTGGAATTATTTTAAATGTTTATGTTGCAACAACACTTTTTGTTCTCCTTATTTTAAAGAAGGCAACTTTGATTTTTCTCACAGTTGTTCGTATGAACTATCATAATCTTCATAGATGAATCTAAGAGCTCTTTCTTGATTTTAAGATTTTTTTAAAGATTTGTTTCACCACAGCAGTGCCAAATTACTGGAAAATAGTTAAGAGATAATGAATGAATAGTATGCTGTTAACCTGCCTAGCCTGCTTAAATATTTGCCCATTCGTTTTAGATTATTTAATTGTCTTGATGCCTAGTAACTCCAAGAGGTTTGACATTTTCCTCACGAGACATTTTGTTTCCATTTAAGTTGAATGTCAAATTATGTTTATTTGGTGTTTTTCCCAATGGCTACAGCCTGGAAATTGTCGGGATTAGCCTTAATTAAATTTATCGAAATTAATTCATTAGATTTAAACTATCAGTTTCTAAAATATTAATAACCTTATCTATATCATACTCACTATATGATACAGTGTTATTATCAGCATAATTATAAATGGAGCTTTTTTGTACAAAAAGAAATGTCATTTATGAAGACATCGAAAAGAACTGGACCAATAATTGATCCTTGTGATACACCTTTAAACATCTGATCCCATTCACTGTAAAAATGTCCAATTATAATACATTGTTTCCTGTTTTTTAAATAACTTTGTAATAATTTTAGAGAATTTCTTGACAGACCATATGCTTCCAATTTAGGAAAAGAAAATTTTGCGGTAAACAATCAAATGCCTAAAATTAGAAATATTCAGAATTGCAGCAATAAATTTGTTGTCGTCCAAAGCTTTTTTCCAAGTCTTCTAATATCTTTAAAAGTACTGTTTGTCAACCAAAACCTGACCTAAATTCCGAAAGAAGAGAATGAAAATGTTTTTCTAAAAATTTCATTAATTGATCATGTATTATAGGTCTTTCATAAATTTTGGAAATACAAGGTAGCACACTTACAAGTCTATAATGTCTTTATCTAGAAAGTTGTTCTTTTTAAACAGTGGGGATACCTGAGTAGCTTTAGGATTATCTGGGAAAATTAAACTTTCAATTGATTTATTAACTACAATTCTAATAGAATAGAATATTACTGGTTGTGCGATAATTATTATTTTTGGTGAAGTAGTGTCGTATCCTGTAGCTTTTCTTATATTTAATCTATTTATTAGTTTACTCACATATTCTGTTACAGTTTAAAATTTAAGTCATTTTAATCGTTTTTTTTTTTTCTTTAATTTTTATTATATTTGGTTGATTTTTATTTCTATTTCAATGTTTTGTGTCCAATTATCTTTAGCAACATTCATGACAAAAATTTCTGATAGCTCTTTACAATGCTTTATGATCACTGAGAAATTTGATCATTTTCATATAAAATTGTGTTATTGTTTGATTTAATGCTTTTATAAGATTAAGAAAAACGAAAAAATAAAAAAGCTCAGAAAATTGCTGAAAATGTTCTGTGTGCATTTTGGGAAGTCTTTTAAAACCTAGAACGATTGGTCAACTTCTATTTTTCCTAATCAAATGGGTTGTATTTTTTATTAAATGGAAAATCCATGTAGGATTTCGTTTCTGTTGGCACTTAGTATATATATATATATATACGCCTAAAAAGTGTACAAAACAACACCAATATTAAAACTAGAGGCTCTAAAGAGGCTGTGTCGCTCACCTGGGTCTATATGTATATTCAACAAAGGACACTCTCCAACATTGTAGACGAGAATAGAATTCATGACAAAAATCTCTGTTTTGTTGATCTTGTATTGCTGATCATTTAGTCTGTTTAGTTTCTCTCTATCTCCTTTAGTTTTTTCTCAAAACACAAAAGAGGGTAAAAAAATCCTCATTTAAGGACAATCGCTCCTATAAAGAGTAACAGTCTACTAACTATATCAGCAAAATTTGACATGTTAGTAGATCTTGCCTTGCTGATAATTTTTTTGTGACTTAAAGTGTCTATTTATCTATTATGTTTTTTTTTCATATACGGCAAAACGCAAAAAAATGGTAAAAATCGTCATTAAAGGGCAATAACTCCAATAAGGAGTCGTCGGACGATTTGAAATTCCTTCATGTTGTCTTAATTGTAGATCTTGTCTTGTACGGGTGGCTCTGGAAAGATCTTGAATAGTTTAGGATGTTTTTCGATTTCTTTCCAATTTTCGCGTATAAGGTTTGATAACTTGTCAAATTTGGGATGGTAATTCAGCACAAACGGCACTTTTGTTGACCTTTTTGTCTTTATATTGTAAAAGTTCATCTCGGCTGATGTTGTTAGCACGAGAGATACCTCTATCAATGTCTTTTCTTCTGTAGCCCCGATTATTTAGGTGACCGCGAAGTTCTTGTAGTCGCCTTTTTTGCAGTATCATTGGTGGAGCAAATTCGTTTTATTCGGATGGCCTATGAAAAAATGTGATCTTTGAGTCAGAGATTTCATAACTGGATTTTATTGAGGGATGGGCATCGTTGGCATGTTGAATGAACTCATTGAGTTCTTGATCAGTATTATCCCACTTCATGTCAATATCGTCGATGAATCGGAACCAAGAGAAGAATTGAGAATTTGCTGTTCTAATTTGTCCATAAAAATGTTGGCATAAGACGGAGCCATCTTTGTTCCCATGGCTGTTCCATTAATCTGGAGAAAGTGTTTACCATTGAATGTGAAGTTATTGCATTTCAATACCAAAGTTAGAAGCTGGACTAGACATATATACACACATATATATATATATATATATATATAAAACGTCTAGATATTAGTCAACGATCTTTCTTACGAGGGCGCTGGATCGTTACGAGTAACGATACCTGTACACAATAAATAAATTGTATTAACGCATAAAAAGTGTACAAAACAACACCAATATTAAAAAAAAGGAAACATTTAATGTAAGAATCTATAAATATTTCGGATAACAGATATCCTTCATCAGTATGATTATGATGTAAAATGAATAATATCAATCTATTCTGATTTAACTATAACAATCTTTAAATTTATACAATTAAAACCGAACAACGCTTGTACAATTCTAAAATTTCAAAAATGACGTAGGTTAGGTATTTACAACAGACACTGCATAGATATGCTTCTAACAAAAATAGTAATGTGCGATATGAACTGGTATATTTCTAAAAGTTCACAGGTGACGAAAGTTGAGTATATAGAGAATAATACATGGCAAAATCCGTATCATATGCCGTATCATCCCGAGATACCAATACAGCCCGAGGGCATTTAGGTCCGTGGGATGATATTGGTCGAGGGTGATACGGCATGTGATACGGATTTTGCCATGTTTTATACGCTTTATCATATATTTAAACAGGAGAGTATATATGAACTGCTCAGTTTCTGATCCCTAGCACCTGGGTTACCTTCAGATTTACCTTTGTCTTGTTTTAAAAGCTTTAACCCTCTTAGTGCGGAGCGAAATTTCCAAACACTGTCCAGAAGCGGATCAATATCAGTACAAAATAACAAACAGTATATTGTTATTCAATCTTGTATAGCAGCATGTTACCTTGCTTAATTGAAGATTAACTAAGGTATACATGTATAAAGACAAGATGCTTATTTTTTCAAAAAATAACGTTATTTATATGACACAACAATGACAATATAATGGGTGTTCACGTCACGTCTTAAGGAAGTTTCGCGCTTTATAATTAGCTATACGCCAAGCACTTTGCTGTGTTTGGAAGAAAACGTTCAGTTTTTGCAACACAGCACTATATTTTACGAAATTTCAAGTCAGTTTTACATATGTTCAGTGGGTTATTTCAAATCAAATCAAATATTTTATTGGATAAAGCACATATCATAAATATGACATTGCGTAATCCAACTGTACAACATACATGACATATACAACATGACAAATAATGTAAATTAAACAATGCATAACAAGAGAAAATTAATGATATGCTGTATATATATTACTACAAGTCTTTTTTTGTAAAGTATACTTCCATAACATATGGTAGACCAAACGACACTAAACATTGTTATGAACTTTTTAGTGAATCCTGATTATAACCTATACAATAAATATTTCTTTTGTTTTTATTGTTTGAATTGCGCTTTCCATGCATGTACAAGCACCTGTATTTTCATAGCACTCTTATATTAAAATCTGAACTGAAAAAATAATATCAATATTGTTTAGGGGCCAGCTGAATCACGCCTCCGAGTGCGGGATTTTCTCGCTAAGTTGAAGACCCATTGGTGGACTTGGGCTGTTTTCCGATCTTTGGTACATTTATGAGGCATTATCAAGTGATAGATCTGATTTAATCAGAAAATGGGTAAAACACACACAAAGGTAATAATACCTTTAGTATTGGCAATGAAATTCAATCCGTGCATTCACAAATTAAAACTATGCCTCACTTAAAACATTGGGTTCTACTCAAACATGATCAGGTTTGCAAAGAAATATTTTCGATCAAACTAATAATAGCTTATAAAAAGCATAAAAATATAGCCGATTTATTAACGTCGACAAAATTGAAATGATATTATAGGTGAATCCCTGATGATGGCGGGCTTACAATGCTTAAACCCATTCATAAATGTAATACATTTATCTTGAGTATATGATACAAAAACCGCCGAAACACTAAATTATGTAGGATTGGTGTAAGCTATTACAAGTCTAGTAATACTAGTATCTTTTTTATCATTATATTGTAATATAATAACAATTAAACACTATGTATATGGAATCTTCCGAATAAGATTTGTTTGCATTCGGGATTTAGATAGATGTTGGAATGCGTTGATGTTAGGTATCACTCATATACAAAGCAAAACAATAGATTTATACATACGAAAAAAAGAATCAGTATCGATTTTAAAATCTGAACTGAAACAAAAAATGATAGATACATATATACAAGTGATCTTCTTCCAAATAATAACTTTAAATATGTTAAGAAAATCAAAACGTTAATAAATAATACTGACGAGTGGAAAATCCATATGAAAAAAAATGTCTGTCCTCTGAAATACCCCCCCCCCCCCCCCCCCCTCGAGTGAAACACTAGTCGTCTTTTTCCCTTATCTTTGTAGACATGGTTGTACCGACGGTAGTGTCACCACATGAAATATTTCTTGTGTTTATTATTTTTATTATGTTTTTCTATGTTATACATGTATTCATATCATATTTTATTTCATATGTTATCTTCATTATCATATCACACCAACGCGTGACGAATGACAAATTCAAATCAAGCACACCTTTTAACCTGCATGCTTTCTAGTTATCGCAATAAAATCCCTTCTTACCTGTAATATCTTTTTTTATACTTTTTTAAACTAGTTGTGTTTATTTCCTAAATATAGTAACACAGCTTATTTTGTGCAATGTCAATTTCATCATGGATCACTTTTTCCACAATCAGGGGTTCATTTAGGGATGAAAATAAGTTTGAAATTTGTATTACAACTTAAAAACCTATCAATGTATGAATTTAAGTTGCAGTATAAAAACAATATGAGGTCAAAGTCAGAAAAATATAAACTTTTTTGTATTCGACACAAAACTGGAGAAGGGCTCGGTTAAACCTCGCCTCGTTTCTCAGTCTTATATTTTTCTGACATTGACCTAATATTGTATAATATACCTGTATTCCTGTATTCAGGCGTTGGAACGTGTGGATGGGTTGCGCCATTAGCTATATATTTATAGGTTTGTCTTTTCTATTTCTTAGTTTTAAGGTTCGGTTCTAATATTTTCGATAATAATATTCTTTGAATACTTTTGTTTAACAGGTTGGGAACAACCCCCAAACGAGGGCTATCCCTTAAATGATGGTCTGTCCCTCGGACAAGGGGTTATTTTGCTGTTGTAGAAAGGAAAAAATAATAACTCGGTTTTTTTAACTGGAAAGGGGGAATATTCATTATATTTGGAACAACTTTTCTAAAAGTGGGGTCTTCTTATTTTCAAAAATAAAGAAGATTGAAGTCCATGAATATTACAAAATTCATGGACATGTTTTGTCAAGATAATACCAGATAGACATATTGTTCTCTTGGTTAAGTTTCTAATAATATAAACATGTGCCCTTTTGTAATTAGAAGTGGTTTTTGTAAAAATATATTTTTATCACTTGAATTATACCCCTCATAAAAGGGATAGTCATTAAATTTAGGGGTTATCCCTCATTTGTGGGGTTGTTCCTAAACTGTTTAATAGTATATTTATACTTAGTCTATTTGTAACTATCATTGTAAATATATTTACAGAATAAATATTAGAGGGCTCTTACGAATTTATATAGCTATATGGGAAAAATACCCGGTAACAGTAGGCAATAAACTCAGTTATAAAAAGTTTATAACACCATATGTGCTCATTTATATTTGTACATCAATGTTATATTGACATATCTTTAGAAAATTTCTTTACATCTCCCGATTTTGTTAGTTTTTTCCTAACTTTGCGTTTTACACTAAATTTATATAACACGTTAAGTTCGAAGCAAAGTCATTATTAGCAGCATGATATGAGGCATAAACATTACACTAGTCTCAAATTCAAAATTTCATTGGATAAATTTGAAGGAAGATTTGCAGTGTAAAAAATGTGATGCGCTTATAGTTAAGTTCCATTGTGGTGTATCATCGAGTCATGACAAGCCACACGTTATAAAATTATAGAGATAATAAGAATGAAATGTTCTAAAAAGGTTGAATATTGTCAGGATAAAATAAACTATAACACCAAATTTCAGCGGCAAATATTTCAAAGCTAACATCTTCAAAATTGTATTAAACTTATCAGAAATGTGAGATACATTGGGGAACACTGGCCAACAAAATAGACCGGAAAAATAAAGAGAGCACACACTGTTGTGCCTGTCCCAAGTCAGGAGCCTGTAATTCAGTGGTTTTCGTTGGTACATGTCTGTCATATTTGTTTTTCATTAATTGTATTGTTATAAATTATGCCGTTAGTTTTCATGTTAGAATTGTTTCATATTTTTCATGTCGGGGCATTCTTTAGCTGACTATACGGTATGGGCTTTTCTCATTGCTTTGTCTGTTTTTCTGTGACTAACGGTTTTTGAATAACCGCTTAGTATCTATCCATTTTTGCACATAAACTAAAGCTAACAATAGCTGAAACAAAACATAAAAAATATTCAGATTACAGAATGCTTTTCTATGCCAATTAAATACACGTCAGTAATTGTAGACTTATTTATTCATTTATATACCAACGCAGACTTTTTCGTTGTGTAATTCATTTGTTTGCAAAACTAGTAAGAAAAACACTGCAAGCACCAAGTTCAACACTTAGTATATGTCCCTACCAATCTAAGAGAGTTTAGGACATTTGTTTGAAATATATAGTTGGATACAAAAATAAAACCAATTAGCAAATATATTTGCTTGTACAGCTCAATGATTATTTGTTTGTGTTGAACTTTTTCTGTATGATTCTGTGTTATCTTATCAATAAGAAGCATTTAAATGGCTCATTCTAAAAGGAAGCGCTATCTTGTCTTCACAACTCAATTACGACGTCAAATGACGACAAATAATATATGACGTAATAATGACGTTTTAATGAAGAAGAAAAAATAACAAAAATAATAACCACATAATGATTCAAATATATGAAATGTATACAATAAATGAAGGAAGGGGTATTTTTTAGAAATATTAAACTAAGGGAAAAAAATAAGCTATTTTTTTACACAGAGGACATATATGTCCTTCCCTATGGCAAGCCAAAGTGGACAAAAAGAACTATTTTTCTAATATTAAAAAAATCATTTTCTTATATTAGAAAATCATTTTTTAATATTAAAAAATCATTTTCTAATACAAGAAATTCGTTTTTTTAATATAAGAAAATGATTTTTTAATATTAAAAAAGAAAATCATCATTTCTTAATATTAAAAAAGAAAATCATCATTTCTTAAATATTAAAAAATGAATTTCCAATATAGGAAAATGAATTTGTAATATTAGAAAATGAATTTCTAATATTAGAAAATTAATTTCTTATATTAAAAAATGTGAATTTTTAATATTAAAAAATCAATTTCTAATATTAAAAAATCATTTATTAATATTAGAAATTCCTTTTTAATATTAGAAATTCCTTTTTTAATATTACAAATTTGAAAGTATTTTCTTATATTCGAAATTCATTTTTTAATATTAAGAAATCATTTTCTAATATAAAAAAAAATCATTTTTTAATATTAAAAATTAAAATCTTCATCACCAAAGAGTTTTGACTTGTTTATTTTTATTATTTATATTCAATAACCCCTCCCTTTTTACAAACGGAATTAGAAAAAATGTGAAAGAAAGAATGAACTGAATCAGATTTTGCTAAGCATTAACGGGGCAGCTCTATCCAATAATTTCGAAGAAGTTGAAATCCTGATTAGAGATGCCTCAACTAAACTGGAAAATGGGAGAGCAGAATTAGATGAGGAAACCGTTGAGCAGCTTCAATCGTCACTGGTATCCATGTCAAGACTTGCCAGAGACATGAGGAATGTTCCTGTAAATTCTGGCTACAAAGCTGATAGACATAAGACAGGTATGGAATATGCAATATAGACCAAATTTGCATTCCTTAAATAATTTTGCTTTCATACAATGTCAAATTTGATCTAAAGCCAATTTCCCCTGATCATTTTTTTTTCACAGAAGCGTCAATTAAAAAAATGCTGAAAGAAGAAAAATAGGATTGATGTTTTTGATCTATAGCTCGATTTTTATATATTATGATATGTCTGAAAAATAATTAGTTTAACCCCCCAAAAAAGATGAAAGTCAAATAAATTATTATGCGGAATTTGCCGTGTTTTTATGTAGGAAAACAGGGAATCCCTGTTATGTTTTTTGTTGTTGTTGTTATTTATACAACTTCTTTCCTCAAAAATGAAATTGGTTTGTTGTATCCTTAACATATAAAAAAAACAACTTTTATAAAAAAAAAGTGGAACGTCACTAAATTGTAACCTCCATCTCTTACATAGTCTCCGTAACTTCATCGATAGTGTATAGAACTGATAATAAATAGATTGTTATTAAAAAGGGGTTTTATTAAGAAGGGGTTCAAATCTGATTTTTTGCATTTTTTTGTGTTGAAATATTAAATTGTAATGTTTCTATCATATTTTCTCGGATGTTTGTTTACTTTGACTATATATCATTTCGTTAACTGTTAAAGAAAAAAGAAAAATAATGTGTTGCTTATTGTGTGCGTTCCGCCGGATTACTTTCCATACTCTTGACTTATTTCCTATTCCTGTCTTTACATTTATTATATATATATATACAGACGTTTTTTATATATATATATATATGCTGTATCCCGAACTGAGGGATGCTGTGCCCAATATAGCTACGATATTGTACATGTACACTTTTACATGTTTTACAAACCTGCTCGTGCATTTTTCATTGTTATTCAACGCAAAATAATTATGTAAGAGACCTGGGACGATCTCATTTCACAAACGATTTCTATTGTCTACTTATTGTACCTCGAACTTATTTACCCGGTGTAGGCACAGGCGCTTGGGTATATGATACAGATATTTTATATTTTTTTTTTATTAAAATATTCAATTTTCTATATTTATACTACATATCTATCATTACTGTGCATGTCTCACCTAGTTTCGAGTGATTTTACCAACTCTGAGACAAACCCCAATTTTACTATCCACACTAAGAAACAAAAGCCTTTTTGCCTTTTTGTTTCTTAGTGTGGATAGTAAAATGGGGGTTTGTCTCAGAGTTGGTAAAATCACTCGAAACTAGGTGATACATGCGCAGTAGTGATAGATATGTAGTATAAATATGGAACGGGGACCCAGTTATTTCCCCCATTGAAACACATTAAACATCATAGTAAATAAATGGGGTGCTGTCCAATTAATAATTTTGATAGCCACCTTGGAACTTCCGTTTCACGTTAGGCATTTGTTTCTAAGTTTCTAAGTACAATCTCAGTGCCTCATGACCGGCATTCTGTTGCAAAGTTTTGTTTTGATTGACAACAGCTTAGGTCCGTCTACTTCCGGGGTGGAAAAAAGGCTAGAATTTAGGCAATTTACTCTATGTACCGACGCCAGATTACATTTAAATCAATCAAAATTTTTACAGAAATTCAAGCTAGAAAGCCTACCCTTTCAAATAAATCTACATTCAGTTACAGAACTTGTGTAATAATAAAACTACACCATTTTTAATAAAAGTTATATATTTTTTTTAAGAACTACATTCTGTACCGGACTGGTTGCCGTAACTGGGATCCTATTCCATATAGAAAATTGAATATTTTAATAAAAAAAAAATAAAAAATATCTGTATCATATACCCAAGCGCCTGTGGGTGTAGGTCTTTAAGTTGAGGTTCAATTTACAAAAAGCTATTCGGGCATGACTTATTAGATACGCCCAATTAAAATCAGGGGGTCCGAAATAGGATCGGGAAAACACCAAGCAAAATACCATAATTTACAATCAGTTTAGAATTATTTTGATTCAACGTGCATTTGGTTTCTTTAATATCTCCGGTCAATAATCAAACGGTATTTTAGTGGAAATACTAACCTGTCTCGAACCGGGAGATGTTGGCTGCAATAGGAATTTATTTACCAAAAAAATTCATATATCTAATTTACTTATAGTGGCCGTTATTGCTTGTAA